CAGGGCAGGGGGCTGGGGAGGTGTGAGGGGGTGCAGGAGTCAGGGCAGGGGCTGAGGGGGTGCAGGGGGCCGGGGGTGTGTGAGGGGGTGCAGGGGTCAGGGCAGGGGGCTGGGGAGCTGTGAGAATCATAGAATATCAAGGTTGGAAGGGACCTCAGGAGGTCATCTAGTCCAACCCCCTGCTCAACGGGACTTCTATGGAAGTAGCAACTGCTTACCACCAAGTGTGCCCCAAATAGAATGTGGGCTTATTTCTGTAATGCAGACTGTTGCAGCTTTGCTTCAGCATAGTGAATTTAAGAAGGATCTTTGCAGTTAATTTACATTTCTTGGTGTTGGTCAGCTTGTGGTGGTTTTTTTTTCAATTATGTAGATTTTGTAACTGAAAGTGAAAGGCTAATACTTCTGGCTAGAGCAAGACCTGGGGCACAGAAATGCTGTGCAGTCTCCACTTGCATGCCAATACACTTCCATGTTGAACAGTAACACCCCACCATTTTCAGTGGGGGGCACATTTTGCTAGTTTTAAGGCAAGACACAGGGACTGATCTTGCCTTGTGCTGCATAGATGTCTTTGGTGGAAGACAGAGCATAAGGAGTCTCTTCCCTGGTGTAGTCAGGTCAGAAAACCTATCTCATACTCAAGAGAGCATGAGGGAAGGGGATGGGCTACTTCCCTAGCTTGGTATGGCCAAATCCCCAGCCAGCTAATGAAGCCTGTAGTAGCTCGGTATACATGCTACTATTTTTGTCCAAAGGAACAACAGTGGGTGTCTCACCATGTGGTGCAGCTGCCAGCCCTGATAATTCTTGTGCTTCACCAGTAAAATATCATGTGCAATTACTGCATTGTTAGTATTTCTCTGCTCCACGTCCCATCTCCATAACTGCTACTCCACCCAGAAAGAGCAGATTTTCAACCACTAGTTTCTACTGCCATCTCATCTTTTAATGGCCTCCACAGCAGCCAACACAAACATAATCAAGTTTCAAAGTTTATCATCACGTATGTCAGCTCCTCCCATAGTTTGTTTCCTGTAGTCATTACACTGAGACCATATCTACACTGTAGAATTATGTCGACTTAAGTTATTAAGTCAACTTGGTGTTAAGCCGCTGCAGATATTACATTGCTTGTGTGTCTCCACACTATGGTCCTTGTGTCAGCAGTGCATGTCCTCACTAGGAGTGCTTGTATCGATGCCGAGAGGAGTGTACTGTGTGTAGCTATCCAACTGGGCAACTTGCCACCATGTAGCGCAGGGTGTTTTGGGAAGGTTTTGCAATGCCTCATGGGACTGAAATGAGTTGCACAGTGGTGACTGGGAGCACGGGTTCAATTTTATATAATGAAGTGTTGTCCATCCCATAATGTTTCATTTCTCTTTTCAAAATCACCCACACAAACCTGTGCATCCCTCCTTGCTGTCCGCTATCTGTGACCAGGAGCGCCACCAACTTTTCTGCCACCCTAGGTGGCGGAAGGTCCCGCCCCGAAATGCCGCCCCCCACAGAGGTGGCCGAAGGTCCCGACGCTGAAATACCGCCATGGTCGCCGCCCCCCAAATTGTAGTGCCCTAGGCGACTGCCTAGGTCGCCTAATGGGTTGCGCCGTCCCTGTCTGTGACAGAAGTATGGATCCTGCACAGCTCTTCACTACGGTGATAAGCATTGTGAGCATGGGCTGGCTGATCCTGCAGTATTTGCAGAGCGACAAGAAGAGGCACGGGGAACATGATGATTCCTTGGAGGCTTGATTGCTGTGGGACATAGAAAGAAACTATCCAAGGTTGTTGGCGGTGTTCATGGAGCAGCTTCAGATGATGGAGCACCAGTTCTGGGCCTAAGAAACAAGCACTAATTGATGGGATCACATTGTGATGCAAGTTTGGGATGATGAGCAGCGGGTGCAGAACTTTCAGATGTGCAAGGTCATATTCCTGGATCTGTGTGCAGTGCTCACCCCAGCCTTCCTGCACAGCCATACCAAAATGAGATCAACACTGACAGTGGAGAAGCAAGTGGCAATTGCTCTGTGGAAGCTTGCAATGCAATTTGAAGTTGGGAAATCCTCTGTGGGGGGTTATTGTGATGCAAATGTGCAGGGCCATTAATCACCTTCTGTTATGAAGGACTGTGACTCTGGGCAATGTGCAGGACATAATGGATGGCTTTGCAGCAATAGGGTTCCCAAACTGCAGTGGAGCAATAGATGGCATGGAAATCCCCATTTTGACACCAGACCACCTTGCCACTGAGTACATCAACAGAAAGGGCTACTTTTCTATGGTAATGGAAGCTTTGTGGGATCACGGGGAATGCTTTACTGATATCAGTGTGGGCTGGTCAGGGAAGGTGCATGATGCATACATCTTTAAGAACACAGGACTGTTCAGAAAGCTGTAAACAGGAATTTTCTTTCCCAACTGGTGGATTACCATTGGCAATGTTGAAATGCCAATGTGATGCTGGAAGACCCAGCCTACCCCTTGCTCCCATGGCCCATGAAGCCATACAGCAGCCACCTCGACAGCACCAAGG